TTATTATTTTTTTTTTAGTCTTCACCTGAAAATGCTTTCCATTGATTTTTTTTTTAGTTTTTTATTTTTATTTATTTATTTTTTAGGGTTTTTTTTATTATTAAATTATTATCTGTGTACATATCTTACCATTCCCCCCCTCTATTGATTTTTTTAAGAGACAGTGGGAGGGAGGGAGATTACGGGGAGAGAGAGAAAGATACATTGACATGAGAGAGACACAATGATTGGTTGCCTCCCACTTACACCATGACCGGGGCCAGGAATCAAACCTGCAACCCTTCCATCCTCAGGCCGACACTCTAACCACTGAGCAAACCCGGCCGGGGCACTAACTGTTTCTATTGTTGACACTATTACAGATGTTCTCCCTTTGCCCCCCTTTGCCCACCTCCATCCAGTTCCCACCACCCCTCCTCTGGCCTTCACCACTGCTGTGTCTAATGGCTATGATGTATGTTCTTTCGCTACTCTTTTCACTTTCATTTATCCAGTCCCCCACCTCTCCCCTCTGATCTCTGTCAGACTGTTCCACTGTCCATTTATCTGAAGGTAGAAATCTTATAAGAAGTTTTACAATTCAGAAAATATATCTTAACTGTTATTCATAGCAGTTAATTCAAAATAAACAAAAAACCTGCTCCAACTAACAAAACTATTGGTTTTCCATGGATTTCAACACCTCTCCCCCCGCCAAAATAATAATTTAGAAAGGTAAATTTTTTTTTTTACAAAATCATGAGATAAAAATCACAAACCATGCTTGGCCGGTGTGGCTCAGTGGTTGAGCATCCACCCATGAACCAGGAGGTCATGGTTCAATTCCCGGTCCCGGCACAGGCCCAATCTGTGGGCTCAATCCCCAGTAGGGCTGTGCAGAAGGCGGCCAATCAATGATTCTCTCTCATCATTGATGTTTCTACCCTCTCTATCTCTCTCCCTTCCTCTCTCTGAAATCAATAAAAATATATATATCTATACATATAGATATATATATCTATATATATAGATATATAGATATATTTATAAAAAAATCACAACCCAGCTATACATTTTGTTTTACAGATTGTTGGTGTTTGAGAAGACAGAACCTGAGAGATCAAAGCGCACATTCTGCCTGATGAGAGGGACACACACCACCCCAAACACATGGCAGATCGTGCACATTCGGGCACTCGGAAAGGTGCAACAAGCCTGAGGACCTCCAATTCCTAACTGTGAAAGGGGACCGAAAGAGGAATGACAGCGAGAGGACAGTAAAAACAGAAGTGACACTGGCTTACCTCCCACTGCAGGTGAGGAGGGATGTTTCTTATCTGAATTTTTCTGCTCCTGTAAAAATAAAAGCACAGACTGTACAACACTTTCTCTATATGCAAACTTAAATAAAAACAGGCTAAGACCATAATTTGAGTTCACTTTCCCACTATGTTCACTGAGGCATCAGCAAGAAATTTCCACTGTGCATCCTAACCATCATGTTTTAAGGCTTTCAATTATTTGGGGGACAGAGGGGATTAAAAAAAATAATAATAATCCAAGAGGTCAGAAGAAGCTAAACGGCTTAAATGCAGATTTGCTTTTCCAATTTCCTACCCAAGTGTTTAGAACTGAAATTGCCAAACAGGTTCTAATTATATTATCACCTTCCTCCTCAAAAATATATGGTCCTGCAAATGACCCTACTCCAAAGGGTACACAGGCTAAAACTTGATGGTTGAAATCATATATGTAATATGCTTAATTAAACAAGATCAGGTTTCATTTATCCCTTACCTAACAGTGCACCTCTTCTCTTAAAAAAAAAATTATTTTTGAATAGGTAATATAGTCATAATTCAAGAATTAGGCCGAAACCGGTTTGGCTCAGTGGATAGAGTGTTGGTCTGTGGACTGAAAGGTCCCAGATTCGATTCCGGTCAAGGGCATGTACCTTGGTTGCGGGCACATCCCCAGTAGGGGGTGTGCAGGAGGCAGCTGATCGACGTTTCTCTCTCATCGATGTTTCTAACTCTCTATCCCCCTCTCTTCCTCTCTGTAAAAAATCAATAAAATATATTTTAAAAAATTAGAATACTATACAAAGGTATAATAAAGTCTAACTCGCACTCACCCTCTGCCTCGTCTTTTACAGAAATAAATATTTTTACTTGTTGCTTGTGTATCCTTCAGTTTCTTTATGCAGATAACAGCAAATACAAAATTAATTCATATTTTCCCTTTTCTTACAGAAATATTTGCATGTTCTACACACTTGCTGCACACACACACACACACACACACACACACACACTCTCTCTCTCTCTCTCACTCTCTCTCTCTTAACATTAATATTCTGGAGATTTTTCTATGTTGGTAAATATAGAGCATTCTCATTCTATTTTATAACCTGAATGCACTGAAGTGTATTTAACCCACCCTACTGGTGAATGTTTGGGCCTTCTCCTGATTTTTTATGCAGAGGATTGTTTTCTTTTTCCAGGATATCCTGCTGGTCTGATAACCTAGTAATTTAGATGATTTCTGGATTTTGTTAAGCATTAAAAATAGATAGAAAACAAGAATTGAGCTGAAACTGGTTTGGCTCAGTGGTAGAGCATAGGTCTGCGGACTGAAGGGTCCCGGGTTCGATTCCGGTCAGGGGCATGTACCTTGGTTGCGGGCACATCCCCGGTAGGGGGTGTGCAAGAGGCACCTGGTGAGTGTTTCTCTCTCATCGACGTTTCTAGCTCTCTATCTCTCTCCCTTCCTGTAAAAAAATCAATAAAATATATTTTTTTTAAAAAAGGAATTGGAATATGAGAATAAGAATTTCTCTATCTTTAAAAATATATATTTTTATTTATTTCAGAGAGGGAAAGAGAGAAACATCAACAATAAGAGAGAATCATTGATCAGCTACCTCCAGCAGCACCCTACCCCCCTCACCCTTACTGGGGATTGAGCCTGCAACCCAGGCATGTGCCCTGCCCAAATATTGAGCCCGTGACCTCCTGTTCATTGGTTGACACTCAACCACTGAGCCATACTCATTTGGCTCTCCTGACTTTTTTGAATGACTTGGTCACCATGCCCAAATTCCCTTTCATGGCCCTGTTACTGCCCCCTTCTCTATCTCTTTTTTGTTAAACTAGGGGCCCGGTGCACCAAGATTCATGCAGGGAGGTGGGTCCCTCAGCCCGGCCTGCACCCTCTCCAATCTGGGAGCCCTCAGGGGAGCCCTCTCCAATCCGGGAGTTTCTGTCTGTCTTTGCGGTCATATGAGTGAATTGGCTGAGACCCCCACCCAGTTTGGTTTGTTGCTCACAGAATAATAGAGGCTTTCCCCCCACTTTGTTTCATTGGTAGAGATTTCCTGGAAGTTTTAGGATATCTTCTCTTTGATTTTTCCTAGACACTGATTTTATTTGTGTCTCTCACCTTTGCTTTCCTCCCATCCCCCACCACAGTAACTGCTCCAGGCTCACTCTGCTCTAGTGACTAGGAGATCTGTCTGCCACCATTCCTGGTGCTCCCCTTGCTCTGGGCTTCTGCTTCCAGTCCTGGGGCTGCCACCAGAACCACTATTCCCAGAATTCCTGGTGCTCCCTGCATTCTTCATTTTCCCTTTCTGCTCTGTCTCCATCCCATGGCCTTCCTCCCTGCCAAGTCCTCCAAGCCACCAGTTCTCCCTCTCTGCTCTCCATCTGACAGCTTGGAGAGCCAAGTTCCCCAAGCCACTCCACTCTCTGCCAGCTCTCCCCTCCCACTCTGTTCTCCACCTGGCACCTGTGTATGCAAATTAACCCACCATCTTTGTCAGGTTGATTTGCATACTCACTCCTGATTGGCTCGTGAGCGTAGTGGAGGTACGGTCAATTTACATGTCTCTCTTTTATTATATAGGCTAATTTAGCCGGGGAAATAAAACCATAGTTAATTGTTGAGAAATCTGTGATTTGCAGAACCACTTCACAAGTATTTTTAAAAAGGTAAAATGCCAGCTTGCATGCGGGGAAGGTAATGCCATAGTTTTTGGGCATTTGATCAATTAGCCAGGAGTCTGATCAGCCACTTTGGAAACTCTAACTTGTTATCTATCCAACTCAGACACTGTTATCCCTTCTGCTGAGGACCTGAATAGAGAACAAAGTTAACATAAATTATGGGAACTCAGCTCATAGGATCTCAAGTTGCATTTAAAAATTAGGCCAGCTAAGGCTTGTGGGATCCCCAGGTAAACTGCAATAGAAGCAACAGAGGAAGCAAGGAGATTCCTGCGAGAGAGTGGGATTCAATGAGATTCTCCCCAGCGAGGTCCCATTTGTTTCCATAGCAATTCTGAGCTCCACCAGATGACACAGGGAGGGAAACAGCATGGATTGTGTATTGTGTAAGATAGGCGAGTGTGCTATCCTACTCCAAAAGCTGTGGGAGCTGAAACCACCAGAGCTCTGGCCACACCCCTCCTCCCTGCCATGCTGCAGTCAGATCCCCCTGCCTCCCATGCCCTCATTAGTATGCGTTTGAGGCACTTTTATCTGTTACCCATTCCTCATTAGTTCTGAAAGTTCCCCTTACAAAGTCTGCACATTCTGTACAAGAGTCATTTTGTGCTAAACTGAACCAGGACCTAGGGCTCCTCAGGGAGGCAAATGAATAACTGGTGATAGTCAAATCCAGTCTCTCTCTCTCTCACACACACAAAAGCAGGGTACAGGAAATGATTAAGAGTCAATAAAACAAACTGTTTAGTCACTATGTCACAAAATTATTAAGAACAACTGCCTCTGCCTCTATGGAATCTAAAATAAAGGTGGTCTAATAGGTGTTAAAAAACTAAATACTTTCAGCACAAAAACTGTTAAAAAGTAAACAAAGAGGTTTTTTTTGGGGGGGGGGGGGGGGAGGGAGGGGGCATGATCAGAGTGAAGTCCTAGTGAATATGAGCAGTGTTATAGGCCAAGCCATAAAAGGAAGAAATCAGACAATGTGGTGGCCCACCTCAAGAGTTTTTCTTTTTAATTATGGAACGCTTCAAGGATCTGCGTGTCATCCTTGTGCAGGGGCCATGCTAATCTTCTCCGTATCGTTCCAATGTCGGTGTACGTGCTGCCAAAGCGTGCACGGAGTTTTGAGCCAGGAGGGCTGCAGTTATGAACCCAGGAACTTTCCAATATAAACTCATGTCCACAAAACCATAAACCCCCAAGTGGTTCTTACAAACACACTTGCGCTTTATAAGCCTTTGGGGACAGGACCTATGGAAAGCCCCCTGCTTGACCCGCCAGAAATAACAGAAATGATAAGCAGGTGTCTGAGATGCGGTACCCCATTTACCTCCTGTCCCCTGACCTTTTAAGAGGTTTCTAATACAATCCCAGATTTCCCTTCCACAGAAAACATCAGCGATTCTTAATTATTGTTGAACGGGGTGGGAGGGGATAAGAGAAAAACCAACCAGATGATGATTTCAGTGGTTCTCAACCTTTCTAATGCCTCGACCCTTTAATATAGTTCCTCATGTTGTGGTGACCCCCAACCATGAAATTATTTTCTTTTTCTTTTTCTAAATACATTTTATTGATTTTTTACAGAGAGGAAGAAAGAGGGATAAAGTTAGAAACAATGATGAGAGAGAAACATCAGTCAGCTGCCTCCCGCACACCCCCAACTGGGGATGTGCCTGCAACCAAGGTACCTGCCCACAACCAGAATCGAACCTGGGACCCTTGAGTCCGCAGGTTGATGCTCTCTATTCACTGAGCCAAACCGGTCAGGGCCATAAAATTATTTTCGTTGCTACTTCATAACTGTAATTTTGCTAATGTTAATGAATCGTAATGTAAACATCTGTGTTTTCCTAGGGTCTTAGGCTCTACAGCAGCGGTTCTCAACCTAAAGCCATCAGAAAATACAGACGTTTACATTACGATTCATAACAGTACAAAATTACAGTTATGAAGTAGCAACAAAAATAATTTTATGGTGGGGGTCACCACAACATGAGGAACTGTATGAAATGGTTGCGGCATTAGAAAGGTTGAGAACCACTGGTGATGATGAGGTGATGATGAGGTGATCCTGAGGAGTCAGGTCAGACTGCTTCTCCTGGGCAAGACTTCCCTGGGTTGAGGTACAATGAGCAGAATTTGCCTTAAATGAGCATTAAGTTTCATTCTAATTTCAGCATTCTAGAAACCGTTTGGAAAGGGGTGTGTGTAGGAGAAAGGTTAAAATCATCTCCTGCTAAAAGGAATCTGAATGCTTGATTGAAACAACCACACACCAGTCTAAGTGAAGTAGGTAACCAGATTTTTCAGAAGCTCAGTATTTTAGCTCTTTAAAAAGGAGGTCAACATATAAATATTTTTCTTTAAAATTCAGATTCAGTTTGTGTACAAGTCCCTATAAATCATACCATCTTTCCCATCCACCATTTTCCTCCTTAACTCATTTTGGGACAAGACAGAGACAGAAACACAGTTTTGGCTCTTGTTTCACCAGAACTTCTCCGTGGGCTTCACTGAATACTCTCTCTTCCCCACCCCCACGTTCTTTTATTTGATGAAGTCTAAGAGTTTCAGAGGTACAACCCAATCCTTCATCCCAGTGTTTTTAGCAGGCACTTTCCCCAAACCTCTGCTACCATTTATGGTGATGGATGAAAGGCACCCATGAGAAGCAGACACTGCTAGCCCCATTTTTCAGGTAGACAACCAAGGAGCTGAAATGTCCATTTCTTGTTTGAGTCTCACAGCAGGGAGTGATATTTTGATTTGTCGTCTAAACATTTAAATCTTTGCTCTTAAAAAAATGTCACTCTGGAATTGCCGATTCACCAGCAACAACATCTACATCTTGTGAATGTATTTCAAAATGTGCCTCCTTGGGCAAAAGTCTTAGGAAAATGGGCTTTAGAGATGGGTGTCTAGCTTTTCCCTCTCAGGGTCGACATCACAGTAGACTCTCAGACCAAAAGCATCTCCTCCAGGAAGGGTGATTTGGAAACTTCACCACAGCGGCTCAGTCTTTGTCCCTCCAGAGAGTTTGCTTAACTAGGAATGCCCTTTAGGGAGGGTGACGAAGGGATTAACTAGTGAACACCTCCACAGGCTCAGGTCCTTCCTTGGCTGGCAGGCTCTCCTGATCCATGGCAGGAAGCTGAGTGTATCTGCAAGCCTAATAACTCTTTGCTACATCACTGGCCCCAGCCAGGGCTGTGCTGAACCTCCTGCAGCAAGGCGAAGTTTGAGAACCCTCCCCAAACATGGATAGCCGAATGGAGAAGGGGGAAGTAGAGGCAGGCAGACGGAGTCCTCAGAAGGCTGGGACATTCAGGTGTGCCCGAGTGCAAGCATGCACTTAGATTTGGAAAGGTGAGATGTGGAGGGGTAAGGCTGAGTCTTTGCAAGCCAAACATCTGCATGATGTTTGGCTTTTCAACATCTAACCGAGTAAGAACTGGAAGCGTTTTCTGTAATGCGTGTATTCTGCTGGGATGAAGATTCCAGGTAGCAAAACCGAATTGTGCTTCCACAGAGGTGGTTAATTACCCTTAGAAGGGCTTCAACCCTGTAATTAACACTAACTAGGGTAGGAACAAATGTTTTCACATCGTAATTTGTGCATAAACACGATGCAATACAAGTTATAAATGCCTGCTTCGTGTGGCACACGGTAAATACCGAATCAGCTCTGTGAAGGCAAAGGGAGCCCTGTGCCCTGTGACCAACGACTGTGCCATTCTTTTGGCATGTCTTCATTTTTAAAATAATTGTTTTCTTTAGTTCTCCCAACAGCATCAAATCTGTCCCCTTCCTCCTTTCCTCCTCCTTTCTTTCCTAGTCTTTTTCACTTTTTTTTTTTTTTCCTCCTTAGCCCAAGTAGCAGGTGCCCAGCAATCAGCAAATTCTCCAGGAGCCGTTGTTGCTGACAGCTGGTTTCTTTTTCCTGGCCCACTCCACCCTCTACTCTGTCTTCCAACTGTAAGAACACGTGCTCTTTGAAGACACTGACTGGTGGCCAACCAAGCCGGCTCCTTTCACTCCGGTTCATGCTCGCCGGCTCAGCACAACAGGCTGCTGCCGACTGGAAATCGCCATCGCCGGGGAGACGTTCCCTGACACAGTGGGCACCGCATTCACTTCCTGTGATGGGATCAGATTCAATGACTCATGTGGAGGTGGTGGTTCGTTTTTTCCCCCTGAAGACAAGAAGCGCAATGGCAGGCACTGACTAACTGGAGAAATAGTTGCACAACTAAAAACTCAAGCCAGAAGCAGTGAGTCCTCAATGTTTGGGAACAAGTGATAAACAACAGCCTTGTACCTCTGAAAAGAAAGTACTATTTCCAGCCGTTACGAGACTTTGATCATATTTGTCATAGTCAGGATGATGATCAAGGAAAATTAAACTCATCTCTAATATAGCCTAAATCCCGGGAAAGGCAGGAGTGAGCCGGCTAAGCTACACCTCTCACACAGGAACTCCTTCCCGCAGCCCAGGTAAACCAGCCAGCACTCTCCACCCTGAGGACTGGGGTGGGGTGACGGGAATCCAAACCACATCGCACCCAAATGGTCTGACTGGAGGTTAAATACTGGACATTTTATCTGATTTTGAAGAACAAACTGATTTCTAAGGTTAAACGAAAAGCTTTTCCAAATTCATTTATCAAATGCTCACTAAATATCCTCCTATTTAATAAAAGTGTAATATGCAAATTGACCAAATGGTGGAACAACCAGTTGGCGGGGGCAGGGCGGCGAGCAGGCAGTGCCAGGCCAGAGGGCAGAGGGAGGGAATGGTGATGGGGGGGGGGGAGAGGGGTGGTGGCAGCAGCAGCCAGCAGAGGCACAGGGGTGATGGGGGGTGGGGCTGCACCAGCTGGCACCATCCAGTCAGCCGCCCAGTCGCCTCCCACAGAGGGAGGCCGGCCACAGCAGCAGCGATAGGGTAATGGGGGTGGCTGACTGGATGGTGATCAGCCGGTCGTCCCTCATCCCTCGCCCCTCGCAGGAGAACACAATCGGGTCTGAGCAAGACAGGCTGGACACGCCCTAAAGCCCTCCCCAGTGGCCAACCTCCTGCGTCCCTCCCCAGCCCCAATCACGCATCAGTGGGGTCCATTGGCCTGGCCTGCACCCTCTCACAAAATCAGGCTGAGGGAACACCAGCTCCCCCACCCCGAGTGTGTGAATTTCATGCACCAGGCCCCAGTATATAATAAAAGCCCAATGACTGAATGGCGGAAGGACCTGAACGAATGGTCGACCAGTCACTATGATGCATATTGACCACCAGGGGGCAGACGCTCAATGCAGGAGTTGCCCCTGGTGGTCAGTGTGCTCCCACAGCGGGAGCACTGCTCAGCCAGAAACCGGGTCCACAGCAGGTGAGCACAGCTGCGGGGGCAGCAGTGCTACAGAGCGGGGGAGGTGGTGGTGGTGGCAGCAGCAGCAGGCACAGCGGGGCCAGGAAGAGCGGCAGCAGAGCTGCACCTGCTCTAGCTGGGGCTCCTCTCCAGCTGCCTGCCACGTCAGCACTGCGACATCCCTCGGAGAGATGTCGTTGGACTGCTGGGTTTCGGCCAGGCCTGTGGGACTGGGCTGAAATCCAGCAGTCCGACATCCCCCGAGGGGTCTCAGATTGCAAGAGGGCGCAGGCCAGGCTAAGAGACCCCATCTGGGTCTCTAGTAAAAAATAAAAGTACTTCACAGGATACAAATTTTTTTTTTAAATTAGTGAACATCTTTAATACCTCATAAGATGCTGATGTGTAAAAAAGAAAATTATTCCCTCTTAAAGCTAATGTTACATGATTTGACTGCAATGAAATTCAATTTGCAAACTCTTGAAAATAGGCAACTTCAAACACAGATGGAAGAGGAAAATGGCCTATAAATTATTCCTATTTGAAAAAGGACCCCGTCATCTGAATGAGGCTTTATCTTAAGATTCCTTTATATCCATTTTGAAATGAGGCAAATTAGTAGGGACCTAACTCCAAAGATACACCTGTGACTTATAACCGATTTGGGGAGACTAGCCTTCCGCAGAGTTAACCCCTGAGCTGTGTCGCCCATCCTCTCCCAGTCCCTGTGCCAGTCACCCTGGGATTGCTCA